GATAGATAGATAGATAGATAGATAGATAGATAGATAGATAGATAGATAGATAGATAGATAGATAGATAGATAGATAGATAGATATCAAGTGGAAGCTAACAACCTTATTAGCTTGACAGCTAATGCTAAATTTATTAGCTCTGACGCTAAAACCCTATATTTCAATAAATATTAGCTCAGGGGCTAACATTTTTAATACTATAGTAGCTTGAGAACTAATATTATTAGCTCGAGAGCTAACGCTAAATTTATTAAATCTGAAACTAATCCCATGTTTTGCAATATATATTAGCTCAGGAGCTAACATTATATTTATAAACTCTGGCCCCAACCATGTTAGCTCAAGAGCTAATGCTAAGTTTATTAGCTCTGAAACTAATACAATATAATGCTAAACATTTCTAATGCTAATATATTTTTAAAAGTATAAAAACTAAACTGCCTACAGAATTTTTACACTCGTTTTTGTAGTTGACGTCAATAATGTTTAAAGTTGTCACTTTTCCTTTAGAATCAATCTAAAATATTACACCTGTTTAGTTTTTAAACATTCATCTCAGTTTGAGTTTTAGTGCTTTGAGGTGATTATTAATCAAATTTCAGCTGCTGTGATTGTTGAATTTTTGCTGCTGCCTTTAGTTTTATATCCCTTTGAATCTGAGGTCCTTAAGTTTCTCAAACGAAGCACTAACTGACAAAACCTGCTGATTACTGGAGTTTTGCGTTTAATTTGTGTGAATGCAAAGCAAAGCAGGTGTGCGTTCATTTCTTTTTTGGACAGTGTCACTTTGTGCTTAAAGAAGAAGAACCACTTCGGTTTAGTTGTTTACAGTTTTTGTATTTTTTTTTTCTTTTGCCAAAAATTACCTGAATTCTTGCTGAATGTGAAAAGTTCTCTCCAGTTTAGCTCGGAGCTCATTTTTAACGGTACGGTGCGTTTATCATGTTCAGTAAATGCAAAAAATAAACTAAAGCAGTTAATAGTTAGTAATGACTTGAAACACATCCAGCGTTGTGCCTTCGTCTTTATCTGTTTTTACCAGACTTTCTGGTGTTTTCAGAATCCTCAGGGTTGGAACCAGCTGACTTTTTTTTTGTACGACTCAGAATGTGCTCAGAGAGGTGTCGTTGTGCTGCCTCACTTTGTGTTTTTACTAAAATGTTGGTTTTCTATGACGTGTTCAAAATGTTTTATTTTGGCGGGGAACTGTGTCTCTGTGCAATCTGGTGGCTGTTAGAATAAATAATGCTGACTTTACAGTTGAATTGTGTCGGATTATTTTAAAAGAATTTAGCACTTTTATTAGTGTTAGCTTGAAAACTTTTAAAAAGAAGAGATTGTAATGCGGACTTTTTGTTAAAAAATAAAAAGCTAATCAATGTGATTTGAATGAAATAAGCACTCTATAGCTCAAACAAGCTAAGAATATTTTTGATTTATTATATATCTAATTTGGAATAAGTTGAATAAATTAACATTTTTGTTACTGTGATTTAATTTTTTATTTATTCCTTTTATTTAGGCTATTTTAGATTCTACGAGACATCTATAAACAAACATTTTATCTTAGACAACTGAGTCATGAATTCTGGGATTATTTTTGGCAGAACTTTTACTTCTAGTGAAGATGACGTCACTGGATCAGGACCAGGTCAATTGGCCTCGTCTAATTATTGGATTGAATTAAAAATTAGGTTTACAACTAATATTTGCTCCTCTGAGCTGTTTAAACAAAAGACAACTAAAGTCGCGTTTAGGTGTATAAACATTAAACAGTGATTAATGTTAAGGTCGTCGACTGGTCGTAGGGGTGTTTTGCACGATTTGGTTCAGAGTTAAATATTATAGTTTTTGTTTTAACATTTTAAACTAAAAGTTTTCTGCGATAAATTGATTTCTGCTCTTTTTATCCAACCATTTAAATCCAGCAGCAAATACGATAATGTATGGAAGCCCATTTCCGCCACCCTGATAAAAAAATAAAACTTGTTTCTCATAATTATGACTTAGCTATCTCATAATTATGACTTAGCTATCTCATTATTATGAGATAGTATCTCATAATAATGAGATGGTATCTCATAATAATGACTTAACTATCTCATAATTATGAGATAGCTAAGTCATAATTATGAGATAGCTAAGTCATAATTATGAGATACTATCTCATAATTATGAGATGGCTAAGTCATAATTATGAGATAGTATCTCATAATTATGAGATAGCTAAGTCATAATTATGAGATACAAGTTTTATTTATTTTTTTATCAGTGTGGCGGAAATGGGCTTCCATAATAATGTGAACATTTTTTCACCGAGATATTTGTTTTTAATTTGACGGCGAAGTGCTGCAGTTAGCCCTCCTCTCACCAGGAGGCGCTACATCGGATGTTCGTGTCTTAATGTTTTAATTTACTTTGACCACACAAGTTTATTTAAATCAAACGGTGAAACTGAAATGACGTATCTATCTTTGTGCAAATGTATTCTAATTATTTAAACGTGTTTGTGAATTACGCTTAGCTGTTTATTTGTTTAAATTTCTCGGTTTTTCTATTGGACTAAAAAGTTTCACGTGACCCGGAAACAGCACGGCGTCTTTTCTTTGTAGGCATTAGTTTTATATATTTTAAGCCGTAGAATATATTAAATATTACACGATCTGGAATTTACATTATTAGTGTTCGTAGTAAAATAAAAAATAATAATGTTAATATACGAAATGTACAATTTAATTTGTGAACCGTGAGTCAGAACGTCAGTGAGGAGGATGAGGTGGTCTCCTCTGAGAATTGTATGTTATCGCTTCTCGGCCTTTTGGCTAAGATCAAGTGTAGTATCTGTTCTTATCAGTTTAATATCTGATACGTCCCCTACCCGGGGACCATATATTAAATTGATTTTTGGAACAGGGAGATGGAATAGGGGCTTGCTCCGTCCACTCCACGCATCGACCTGGTATTGCAGTACCTCCAGGAACGGTGCACCTCCCCTCACATGTAAAAGAAGATCTCTTTATAATATTGAGTTATTGCAGTCATAGGTTTATTTAACTCTTTGAAGCGTACTACTGAACTAAATAGATTTTGGTAGTTCTTACAATTTAGTGAATCTGAAAAATGAGACAGCTGTATGGAAGTTTCGTAGGACAAATAATGAAGGTGAAACCTTTTTTAAAACTGCAGCATCAGTTTAAATATTTCATGACAATTTTTTTTATGTCGATGTTAACTCAGAAGTCAGAGGACGTGAGGGCATTTTTTTCCTGTGTTCTCATGCCATAGTGTTGTGTAACTTTTAAACACTTTTCGCTTTCCCTCACAAGTCATTTTTCACTGTTGTGTCTGACAATTTATTAACAAATTCACATGCTCACCATTAGCGAGTCAGACTACTACTTTAAATCAGACATGCATGAAAGTCTGTAATATGCAGATATTTTAACAGCTGCAGCCACACAACATCAATGTCAATATCTCAAACTTGTGGCGATACATCCTGTTTTGGTGACCGGATATTTCAAAATAAATGTCTGATTAATTTAGTTCATAAAAAACAAACTTACATGTGAATGCAAAACAATATTGTGAGGGAATGCAGAAGTTTGCGAGGTAATGTAAAAGTATTACATAGAATGCAAAAGGTAAATAAAGTCCCACATGTTTCCTGGCAGGCTTTGTAGATTAGTAGAAACTCCTGTTTTCAAGTCTTGTTTATCGTCACTGAATGTAGTTTTTCTTCTGAACAGCAGGGGGCAGCAGCGGCTCTACTGCAGTCTGAGGGCAGACACAGGAAGTGGCGTCACTGTTAGCACAAACACAAACGTGAGCTGTGTTTTTATTCATTTCTCTACATTTCTGATGAGAGTGGCTCAGATTACAGCTGCTGTTCAGTTTGGATTGAGTTAATCTGAGCTCTGTTGGCTTGTTGGTTTACTTTAGGAGAATGAATGGACGAAACAAGTCACATCTGTCAGTTAGCTTTTTGTGCACACATGCTGCATTGCATTGTGGGAACACTAGCGTGTGTGTTTTAAACTAAAATAAGTCAGTGTGTGTGAGTGTGTGTGTGAACTGCTTGGTTTGAAGAGAGGAGCTGAAGAGTTTCAGCTCCAGTGTTTTCCTGTTTAGTTGTGAGATTGTGGTGACCGTGAGTCAGAGCGGTGTGTGAGTGAAAGACCTCCCTGTGATGGAGCTGAACAACTCATACTTACCTGGCAGGGGAGATACCATGATCAAGAAGGTGGTTCACCCATGGTGAGGCTCAGCCATTGCACTCCGGTTGTGCTGACCTATGCGAATTCCCCAAATGTGGGAATCTCGACTGCATAATTTCTGGTAGTGGGGGACTGCGTTCGCGCTCTCCCCTGATCAAATGTCAAAAATAAACACTACAAGTGTCCATTAGTGCTGTAATGAATTGACTTTTTATTCTATGCTTGGGGCATCAGTTTATTTCAGATGTAATGGTTTCAGTTGTTAAAAAATAATCTCTGCTAAAAGTACTGATTCTCATTTCTCTGCACAAATTTATTAAAGATGTCACCCTCTTATCAGAAAATTAAACTCATTTCATCCAGTTAGATACAACTTTCAGACCTATTTTCACTCCTTAAAACACATTTTGCTCTTTGATTCACATGAGTACCACAATGTTAAGCACAGGTAGCAAAAGCGAGACGCAAATAAAATACTGCTGTCTCAATTTAAATGTTTTTTTTTTTTGGAAGCCATTGTTTAAAGCACTTAAAAGTGTTTGAGAGCTTTCAACACAAACAAACACGACCACAAACTTCTGACCAATCACACGGTCAGTTCTTATGTAGAGCGGGTTAAAAGTTCTGCTGGCAGGTTGTTACTAGAAGGGGCAGCAGATTCAAAGCTGTGAACAGAATGAAGTGATTTTTGTCATGAAACTGCAACAAGAAGAGCTGATTTAGACAGTTTGGATGGAGCATGCAGAAGCCCTCAGCTGTTTTGAGTTTTCTGTTTTCTTATTGGACTAAAAAGTGTCACATGACCTGAAGGACAGCATTTTAATATGCTTTATGTTGAAATTTAAATCAGAAAAACAACTTAAAGAGAAAACAGTCATCTTCACTTGGATATACTGACTCACTTCTCTCCAGAAGGTGGCAGTATACTGACAGTTCCATTCAACAGAATCACAGATTCAGGTTCAGACAGAGAACAGTTCACACACATGTCATTTTTAAATTTAACATGTACTGCTTGGCAGGGTAATATCTATGAATTAATTTGTATGATACTTCCCTTACTTTGTTTAAAAGTAAGTACTTGTAAGGCAGGTTCCACACATTGACCCAGTTTATATCATTTACTACATTAGACCAGTGATAAACAACACGGGGAATACTAGTAATGTCTCCTTGAAGTAGTGACACAATGTTGCCATTATTATTCCTTGACTTGACAGAAAAGCATTAACCTACCTACTGAAGTTAAGATATCAAATGATGGAACACAGATTGGTTTCTCAGCATCCTTTAACAATGCAAGAATACCAGAAGGAATAGCAAATTCTTTTGGGGTTACAGAAATATCAAATGTTTACAGAAATTTAAAATAGTTAAGCAGATTCCCATTATCATTAAGTAGCTGAGTTACCAAAATTATGTTATTATCAAACCGGGAGTTAAAAAAATACAGTGGTTTGCAAAAGTATTCATACCCCTTGAACTTTTCCATATTTTGTCACATTACAACCACAAACATAAATATATTTCACTGG